CGCCTCCGCCTCCGCCTCCGCCTCCGCCTCCGCCTCCGCTCCTCCTCTCTCCTCCTCCTCGCCTCCGCCTCCTCCGCCGCCTCCTCCTCCCCTCCTCCTCTCCTCCGCCTCCTCCTCCTCCTCCTCCTCCTCCTCCTCCTCCGCCTCCTCCTCCGCCTCCGCCTCCTCCTCCGCCTCCGCCTCCTCCGCTTCCTCCGCCTCCGCCTCCTCCTCCTCCTCCTCCTCCTCCTCCTCTTCTTCTTCGTCTTATTCTTATTGTTTTTCTTATTATTCGAAGTATTCGTATTGTTCGTCTTATTACTCGTATTGGTATTCCTATTAGTATTCTTAGTCTTAATATTCTTCTTATTATTAGTATTCTTATTCGTATTATTCTTCTTAGTATTAGTATTATTATTAGTAGTATGAGTATTATTCTTATTCGTCTTATTATTATTCTTATTATTATTAGTATTCTTATTCTTATTAGTATTATTATTATTAACAGCATTATTATTATTAATAATAATATTAGTACTACTATTATTATTAGTATCAGTATTATTTTTATTATTATTAATATTATTATTAGTATTAGTATTACTATTGTTATTATTAGTATTCTTCTTATTATTCGTTTTATTATTATTCTTCTTCTCCCTCCTCCTCCTCCTCCTCCTCCTCCTCCTCCTCCTCCTCCTCCTCCTCCTCCATCCTCCTCCATCCTCCTCCATCCTCCTCCATCCTCCTCCATTATTATTAATAATAATATTAGTACTACTATTATTATTAGTATCAGTATTATTTTTATTATTATTAATATTATTATTAGTATTAGTATTACTATTGTTATTATTAGTATTCTTCTTATTATTCGTTTTATTATTATTCTTCTTCTCCCTCCTCCTCCTCCTCCTCCTCCTCCTCCTCCTCCTCCTCCTCCTCCTCCTCCATCCTCCTCCATCCTCCTCCATCCTCCTCCATCCTCCTCCATCCTCCTCCTCCTCCTCCTCCTCCTCCTCCTCCTCCTCCTCCTCCTCCTCCTGCACCTCTACCTTACTCCACCTCCCTCCTCCTCCTCCTCCTCCTCCTCCCTCCTCCTCCTCCCCTCCTCCTCCTCCTCCTCCTCCTCCTCCTCCTCCTCCTCCTCCTCCTCCTCCTCCTCCTCCTCCTCCTCCATACTATTATTCGTAGTATTCTAATGTGTCTTCTTCGTGTCAGAATTCTTATTGTTATAAAGTATCAGTATTGCTAAGCTTCGTATCGTATCAATAGTAGTATGCTTATGCTTCGACGTGTTATTACTATTATTATGTGTAATCGTATTAGCCTCCTCCTCCTCCACTGCCCCTCCCTCCTCCCCCCCTGCCCTTCCCTCACTCCCTCCTCCCTCTTCCTCCTCCTCCTCATCCTTCTCCTCCTCCTCCTCCTTCTGATCTTCCTCCTCCTCCCTCCTGCCTCCTCCCTCTCTGCCCCCGCCTCGGCGCCCCTCCACCAGCACAGCGGGCTCGAGGCGCTGCTGAGCAAGCTCCCCCCTCCTTGCCCCTCAGCCTACTCCAAGATTGTACTGAGCATACTGTTGTCGGTTCGCTCCCTATGGGCGGACCCAGCCCTCAGGCCACTGTTCTACTGAGCTGCGCAGATTCGAGAATCATGCGCCTTCCATCCCCATCATCATTCCAGCACATCTCGGCTCATGAATCAGCAGCACCAGGCCGGGGTCCTGGGGACAGTCTTTGACGCTGATATCGTTCGCTTGGGGGTGTACACGAATGGGTCAAGAGGTTCGGACTGCAAGACGGTTGGAGGCCCACCTGCGTGGGCTCATATTGCGTGCGGTGCGACCACGAACAACCGATGTCGGTTGGAAGGTTACTTGGCAGGCCCTGGCCCCAGCTTGTGAGAGCAATACGACAGCGCGTCAGGAGCAGCAGAGTTCATGGTAGCACTGTGGTATGCATCATGCTTATTGCAGGCGCTTGAGTGGTATCGCTCCCCCAAAGTACAGTGTAAGCTGATCACATGACGGAAGTAAGAGGCAGCCGCAGGAGTTGCTTCTGGCTCGTGTGGGCAATTGCCCAGGTTGCTAGGCGGTCCAACTAAGCTACTACGCAACTCTGTGGCGCTTGCTTGGCTATAGGCTGCTGGTCACTCTGATGACCCACTCAACGAACTGGCTGGTACACTGGCTAGGTTGGCTTCAATGGGCTTGGCTCCAACGAGGCATACGATGTGCCCTGGGCGCCCCTACAAGGAGATCTGGTTGCGGTTGCTTGGCATTGGCTGGCAGATCGGGTTCACAGCGGGGCTCGGATGCTGCCAAAAACTACGCGTGCTCGGTTGCCTCCCCTGTCAGCACCAGCGCCGCCGCCTGCCAGGCAAGAATCAAGGTGTGAATGATGCCGGCACGCCTTTTCAGGTGTCATTGTGTCAGGTCAGGCTTGCAATTGCGAATGCGCTTACGCTACGACCGAGGTACTGACCCACACGAGGAGGTGGTAGACGGATCAGGTGCACTTACTGAGATGTAGCAGGGTGAGACGTACCAGGTAGGATGCTGGCCTTGGCACACCAGTTTCACGATCGTGAGTACCTCATCGTGGGCACGCTTAAGGCTCGCCGGAAGCACAATGCATGTCGCAAGGCAGGCGAGGCTCGCTGGAAGCACAATGTATGTCGCAAGGCAGGCGAGGCACGCCGGAAGCACAGTGTACGTCACACAGTAGGCAACCCTCACGTGCTTACGGCAGCTGCGGAGCGCATTTGGCAATACGGTGCAGGACGGTGGCTCAACATCGGACACCAGACATCGGACATCGGCCTGCATCATGCACCGCGTGGGTGCTGGGGGGTGGTGCCGAAGCACCCATCAAATGCTAGCAAAAGTGAAGCAAGTACAACCACAGTAAGACAATGTAGTCATCATCGCAATGTGATAAAATGCATGACGAGGATGACTCGGGCTCAACAGTGACTTGAAACATCAGCCAGGCTGCAAACTTGCACGCGGACGCGTACGAGTACTGCCATACGACGCTCGACACACGCTTGCAGCAAGACGTGCACCTGGCCTGTACGTATGAATTTCCTGGCCGCGCACGCACCACGCACGCGCAACGAGGAGGATGAGACGGCGGCTTGGTGGGCACGCATGCAGCACGCGGTACTAGCAAGTCCAGATCCAGCCTCACTGTATCTCGCGATCGCTCGGACGTCCATTCCCCGTGCATGTTTCGATTGCGTGCGTTTTCTTTTCTCGTCAGATGAACCTGCTCGATGGACATCGCTGCGAAAAATGCGCACGTTCGAACGATGCCAAGGCATTGTCCCTAGGACGCTAATGCTACCACTGGTGCAGTAGAATCGACGTGTGCTGGGAGCGCAGGAGCAGAGGAGGAGAACAAGACGGGAGCGCCCGTTCCACCAACTCATGAGAACCAACGGACAAGCTGCTGTTCCGACTTTCGCACAACCATACTACGGCATCCAAGGGACGTAAGTATAACCAGGCGCAAGCCCGCAGCATCCGAGGAGACGCATCGATTCCGCCACCTTGCGTCAAGCCTCTGTTGTGTCCGTCGGGCAGCGAGGGGAAGATCCAACAGTCGGCCCGTCAATGAGAGCTGACGACCACTACGTGGTAATGGCGGAAGTTCCAAGTCGCTAGTCAGATATCCAAGGACCTCGGAAGTTCTGGAATCGGGTCTACCACGATCCACAAAAGATTTCGGATCATGAATGTTCAGCCCGCTATGTCCAGGCGATCAGAGAAATTCCGGAGCCAAGTTTTGAATGCCATCCGGATGACCATGCTAACTTCTTAAATCAGGAGCTGGCGAAGAAAGCTGCAAAGTGTTCCCCTGCGAAATGCTCCAGCTCAGGAAGAACGACTAGGCAGACATGGATCCCCGAGCTATCCCTGGGGCTACAGGATCGTAGGACGAATGGTAGGCACGACCTCAGAAGGTGTCTCCGATCCTAGCTAAACCAGCTACTCTTGGCAAGAAGGAAGAGAAATGGTTGTAATACAAGAAATATGCATGGAGATCCGCCACCGTGCCTTGAAACACTCTGTAGGGGCGGACCCCAAATTCTCAAATATATCGGGACTTCCCGTGTACCATCTGGGCTCCCCCGCGGCTTATCGCATGAATGGTTCGACCCAAGAAGGCCCAGGGACGGACCATAGTGTGCAAATTACCGCTGCTGTCTGTTGCCATGATTATTTCCGTGCCGCGGAGATAAGACTGGCCCTCTTAGGTATTCAATGAACTGTGGCAGGCGCACCATGTTGGCCTCCTGCACCGCACCGCGACATGCCAGTTTGTCTTCCTCGACCTGTGCCAGTGTGTCTACCTTGACCATGTTGGCCTCCTGCACCGCATCGCGACATTGCTTGCGCACTTGGCCAAGCACCGAGTGCCGTGGTGAGCGTTCCCGCCCTCTCCCAAAGCGCAATGATAGCCACTCTGTTTCCGCTGTTGCCTCGTTCTTGCCGTGCTGGGGCGGAGTTAACTCCCCACTCAGATACAACGAACGACCGCAAAGGTCGGCTGTGCCCAAAGGCAGCTCTGATGACTGCCAGCTGGTACTGTTTGCCTGCTTCACTCGACCCAGGTGCCCCAGCAGAATTGTTACACACCTTCTGTTCTGCAAGTCGCGTGCCGGCCTCTGCTGACAAACTCGTTGCTTGATCAGCGTCGACATCCAAAAAACACCTCCGTCGCCCACCCACCCACCCGCCTACAGTCGGGGCGTTGACCTAAGGAACCCTAAAAAAGCAACGAGGCCCCTTTTCCCCAGAAGTTAAACTTCGACTCCCCATCGAGAACCTGGGGAAAGCCCGAGGCAAGCTGTGAAACACTCAAGGAACGCGGAGCCCCTCCCCAACGAAGAGGGCTCCTTCTCCAGGGCCCCGACTGTATGCCAACCTCCTCCCCCCTCCCCCTCCCTCCGCGCACCCGCGAAGGCCCGCGGCCGTCGCGCGGCCGCGGCCGTCGCGCGGCCGAGGCGGGGCGCCCTCACGCCGCCGCTCCGCGCCTCGCCTCGCGGCGGCGCGGGCGGCGCCGCACCCCCCTCCGGCCCTCCCGGAGAGCACCGCCGTCGCCGCCGCCCTCGTCGCCTGCCGTCTGCCGCTGTCGTCGTCACCGCCGCCGCCGGCCAACGTCGCCTGTCGCCGTCGGCACCGTCTGTCGTCGTCCGTCGTCATCGTCGTCCGTCGTCGCCTGTCGTCTTCTGTCACGGTTTGTCATCGTGCCGTCTTTGTCGTCGTCTGCCACCGAGTTCGTCGTCGACGACGTCGCACAAACGTGCGACTGGCCTGGACAGGCCAGCGTAGAGGAACGTGCGCTCGCTGGATTACATCTATGTATGCATGCACGTACGCATGATTGTTATAGTTTCTTCCTGTCACATCCTGCCTGCATGCCAGCCTGGCCATCTGCTGACGCGCCTGTCACTTGTATGTGAAATCCTGCATGCACGCCTGTCTGTGCCTCCCTGTATGACTCCATCTCTGTCTCGGTCTCTCCACATCTCGGATGTCTGCCTTCCCCTGTCAAGGGGCCCAGCTCCCAACTCGCAGATGTCTTCGGCGTAGCGCGCGATGCTCGGGGAGCCCCGCGTGTCAGTGTCCCGAGACCAAAACGCACTGGAAAAAACTAAGATTCTTTGTGTTCGGCACTAGGAGGGGACACGGGCGCAGTTGTGCCAGAATGGCCCACGAGACCGCCAAGAGGCCCTCAGAGACACCTAGGAGGAGGTCCCAAAAGAGACCCACAAGAGGCCTCCAAGAGGCCCGACGAGGCACAGAGAAGGCCTCCAACAGGCCCCCAGACCTCAAGAGACACGAAAGAAGACTCCGAATCACAACCCAGGCACGGTGGTCGGATGGGCCGAAGACCACAAGAGCTGCCGCCCCCTGTGCTTGCCACAAGGGTGCACGGCGCGCCGAACATCTGGGAGGTGTTAGTCCTCTTGTGGGAAATCCCTGTGGGGCGTCGGCCCAGCCCGCAAGCCACCAGGAACGCCACCGAAAATTCGGTCTCCATTGGTCCAATCGCGTCCAAGACGGCCCGGATGGCCCAAGATGGCCTCCAAGATGCCTCCTCCAAGACGGCCAAGATGGCTCCAAGAGAAGCCAAGATAGCCCTAAAACGACCTCAAGACGGTCCCAAGATGCCTCCAAGACCACCACGATGGTCAAAGAGAGCCTAAGACGACCCAAGAAGCGCACAAGAGGCCCCTGAGCCCTAAGACGACCCAAGAGGCCTCTAAGAGGTCATCCAGGAAGGCCCGAAGAGGCCAAAATCATTTTTCTTCCGTAGGTTGTGAAAGGATGCTGGCACTTGCTTCAAAACAGCCTTCCGACGGCCCAAGACGGCGCAAGAGGTCCCCAAGATTGCCCCAAGATCGCCCAAGAGGCCTCCAAGATGGACCCAGAACGGCCCAAGAGACTCCCAAGACGGTCCCCAAAGAGCCCCAAGACGGCCAAAAGAGCCTCCAAGACGCACACGATGGCCTTCAAGGAGATGCTGAAGCGCACAAAGAGGGCGCCAAGACGGCCCAAAGAGGTTCCCAAGACGGCTTCCGACGGCGTCAGACGGGCCAGGAACGCCCCAAGACGACTGGAGTGGCCCTCAAGAAGCCCCCAAAGGCACCCAACAGACACAAGGAGGCTCCCGATGGGGTCTGCAGGAAGCTCCCGGGAAGTTCCCTGGAGGCCCCAAGAATCACTCAAGAAGCTCCCAAGAGATCTCCTCACCCTTCTCCCCATCCTCTTTCTTCCTACCTCGCCCCATCCTCCTCTTCCTCCTCCACGTGCTCCCCGAAGGGGTTCCACAATAGCTGGGGAAACGCATGGTCCAATAGCGTGACCATAACGTGCCCAAACGTTTGGCCACAAGTCGTGTCCTAAAAGGCACGGGGCGGCGGTGATTCGCCGCAGGCGTCTTCGATAATGAATTGCTACAACTACCCTGAGAACGGAATCATCTTGCTTGGTAGAGAGCGTGGAATCGCGATGCATTGGTGATGCCCAAGCTCGTCTGTCAGCTTCCCCTCTCATCCTGAGCCATCCCTCATTATCCCTGCTCGCAACCACATGGTAAATGCGAAGGCATGACAGCTCGCAGGGAAGCCACACGTTGCCACGGCCATACTACCCCTGCGGAAATTGACAAGGAGTAAACGCGCAAAAGAATGTGCTGCATTTCAGCTTGGACTGACCATGTGAAGGAGTCCCTGTACGCGCGGAGGGGCTGTTCCCCCCAAATGCGTTTCCAATTGCGCCGCCTCTCCAGCTGGGTAGGACGTGACCCTGGGGCGCCCGAAAGTAAGCACCTGCCGGGACGCCCCCTGCGATGCTCGAGGGGGGCGTGCCGGGGCGCCTGCCAGGGGTGCCCGCAGACTATCCGGGGAAACGAAAAGGCACCGATACAGCTGCTCCGCTGCTCCCAAGGCCTCTCCAGAGTGTCGAGGCGAATGCTGCGGTGGCGACGAGGGCTTCCCGGGAGGCCCGAAAAGACGAACACCAGGCAAAGGTAGCGGCATGGGTACCTAGAGGCTTCCCAGATGGGGTCGGAGTAGACGGGGTCGGAGGATCTCGCCGCATCGCCGATACATCGTTGCTGCATCGGCGCTGCATCGGCGACATCGGCGATGCACCGGCGACGTCGATGTGGAGAAAATCGAGCTCCGCACCGATGCATCACCGATGCGGCTCGATGCGGAGCTCGATTTTCTCCACGTCGGCGTCGCCAGTGCATCGCCGACGTCGCCGATGCATCGCCGATGCATCGCCGATGCATCAACGATGCATCGGCGATGCGGCGCGGTCCTCCGACCCCATCTACTCGGACCCCAGCTGGGAGGCCTAGAGTACCTGTTCCCCCCTCTGCGCGTGTCCGACTGCCCAAATGGCCTGCCAGGACGCCTCCCCGGGGCGCCCGGAGGCGCCTCCCGGGACGGTGGCGTGAGGGCGAGCTGCGCCCTCTCGCGCAGGCCACCTGCCCCCTGGAGAGGGGCAGGTTTTCAGCCCGGGCGCCGCGAAGCGCGCACCGTCGCGCCCCTGCACCGGGCCTGAGGGACGGGAAGCCACCGACCCCTCCCCGCACACTGTCGGCCCGTATCACAAGGATGCGCGGTGAGGATGCAAAGGCCTTGGAGGGCCGCGTTCGCGGTGTTCGAACGGGGTTGGCCAGCGAGAGTCGCCAAGGATGGGCCGAAGGGGCAAGGACGCAAGGGTTCCATTGGAAAGGTTGCCCATCTTTACTATGCGGGTCGACAACACTCTTTTTTTTGTCGCACCGCGGCAGAGGCAGTCCGCACGCGCGGTCAGGCGGTCTGGGCAACAAAGGGCGCAAAAATTGACCCGCGGCGGGAGGGAAAGACGGGCGAGAGAGGCCACCCACCCCTCCCCGCACACCCGACCCCTACACTCGGGTGCGCACGCTGCAACGCCCTCTGGTGCCCACCCACACCGACAGCCCTGGGTCACCCGAACGGCCGACCCAGGCCTGCCCTCAATCACAGCCATCGTACTACCACCCGGAACGCCAAAGAAATACTCTGGATGGTTTGGAGTAACCTTCTGACTGAGACTGCCGAATCCCGCCCCCCTCCATCCTCCTCCCCCTCCTCATCCTCCTCTTCCTCCAGCCCCGCCTCCACACGTGCCGACAGCACGTGCCCAAACCCCCTCAGCGGAACCAAGGGGGGGGTGGAGCGATTAGTGCCCCATCCAGAGCGAGGAACGAGAGGGCTCTGCTCGCCAAAGCGAGCCTCGGCCACAAGAAAGAACGGGCTCCCCGACCTCCACTCGAGGAAGGGCCTGCAAGACCCGAGGCCCTTCTGGACACAACGCGGTCCTTATTTCAGCGCCTTGACTGTACCTGTAGGTCGGGCATGTCCACCTACAGGCGGATTTGGGAAGAAAATCTAACAGTAGTCCAAACATATTTCAAAATGGTGTAAAATAATCAAAACAAATCGTCCCCAGACTATTGCTCGACTTATTTTGAATGTTCCTCCTGTCGAGGGACATGCCCGACCTAAGTGTACCCCCCAACGCCGCACTCTCGTCATGCGGGCCCCCCGGGGCTGCCCTGCAAGACCCGAGACCCTCCTGAACCCAACGCGGTCTTTATTTCGGCGTCTTGACTGTACCCCCTCCCCCTCCAAACTGCCATGGCTCGGACGTCCATTCACCGCGGATTGTTCGGTTTCGCACGTTTTGTATTTTATCTTTTTTCTGAAAAAGATGATCCCAGATGCTCCTCGATGGCCCTCGGCGAGAAAAAAGGCACACGTCCGAGCGGTGCCACTCCAGCGCCGCACTCTCTTCATCGGGCCGGGCGAAAGGGGGGGATAGCAAAGGGAAGGTTTGAGAATCAGCTCACGTAGCTGATTTTCCTGGCACCTCCTGGCGCCGCAGGCGGCCATGTATCGAGGAATGGGCCCGGCGGCGAGGCCGAAACCAGCTGCATGCAGCAAATTTCGTACTCCCCCCCCTTCGTCCGGCCCGATTCACACGGGGCCCCCGGGGCTCTCGGAGCCCCTGCCCCCTTGGCCCGAGACGGCCCTGCCGCCCGAGCCGGCTTCTCCTCTGGCGGCCTCCCGGGGCCTCGGAGGCGGCGGCCCCTCGGGGCCGAAGGCGTCGATGGGGAGCCGGCCGCCGCGTGTTGTGCGACGCACCCGCTCGCTCCCGGCGTGACGCGTCCCCCTGAGCGGCCGCCGCCTCGTTCCCCTCCCCTTACCAGCCTCGAACGTATCCCTATCCCTAAGATTGACACGCCAAAAGGCGATGACAATCTTAGGGATTCGCCGGCAAAATATAAGGGAATCCCTAAGATTGCCATCGTGATGAGGAGGTGCCCAGCACAGGGATAGGGATATGTTCCAGGCTGGTAAGCGTTGGCTCTTCCGCCGGCGCAGTTGCTCTGCCCAGCCGCCGACGCAAAGAGTTATGCAACGGATGAATCTGGAAGTCGTTGACGCCGCGATCGCGTTGACGGTGGCTTCCAAGGCGTGCTTGCCAGAAGACAGGGTCACCGAAGATGTGTGAGGCCAGCACTACGTCGCATAGCCAGCCGTCGCGTCTGCGGCGAAGAAACGGATCCAGACGCTGTTTGACGCCGCGATCGCTTTGACGGTGGCTTCCCGAGCGTGCTTGCCACAAAACAGGGTCACCGAAGTTTTCAGGGGCCAGCTTGCCATCGCTCGGACATTCATTTCCCGTGCATTGTTCAGTCTAAAGTGCACACGTCCGAGCGATGCCAAGGCAATGGCTTGAAGATCAGATCCATCTGACTTCATGAGCGCACTCGATTTTGAAAAGGGTGACTCTGCAACTGCTGGGGAGCGCGCGCATATACACTAGGCTATCTGGGCCCTGCCCCATGGAGCTTCGCAGAAACGCAATATGACAACGCGTGGTGTCTAATTGTGTAGCCCGTTCTCTGGGCGACAGGTGTTGAAACAATGTATACAATGTGATTGGACTGCCGATTGTCACTAAGTGGGGGCGAAACATAAAATAGTACAGTCAAAATTGAAAATAAGGATGCGCGGTGAGAATGCAAGCCCCTTGGACGCTCATGACGAAGCTTTTCGAATGCGGCTGGCCATCGAAAGGGGTTAAGGATGGACCGACGAGGCAAGGATGCAAGGGTACCTTGGGGAGGTTACTCATCCTTACAATCGGTTTCGACTGTATAGTGGACATGTTCCTGGCCTCGAGCTGCGCTTGCCCCTCCCGTCCAACGCCGCCAGCCCTCCCCCCTCGGGCGCACGGGGCCTTCTTGCGCGGGCGTCCACCGGCCGCGAGTCCTCCGAATATGTCCTCGGGCGCTGATATGTCCCCCCCTTCTCCTCCTCCTCCTCCTCCTCCTCCTCCTCCTCCTCCTCCTCCCCACTCCTCCTCCTCCTCCTCCTCCTCCTCCTCCTCCTCCTCCTCCTCCTCCTCCTCCTCCTCCTCTCCTCCTCCTCCTCCTCCTCCTCCTCCTCCTCCTCCTCCTCCTCCCTCCTCCTCCTCCTCCTCCTCCTCCTCCTCCCTCCTCCTCCTCCTCCTCCTCCTCCTCCTCCTCCTCCTCCTCCTCCTCCTCCTCCTCCTCCTCCTCTCTCCTCCTCTCTCCTCCTCCTCCTCCCTTCCTCCTCCTTTCCTCCTCCTCCTCCTCCTCCTCCTCCTCCTCCTCCTTCTCCTCCTCCTCCTCCTCCTCCTCCTCCTCCTTCTCCTCCACCTCCGCCTCCCTCTCCCCACAGCGCGACTCCACTTGGCTCGAGCCGGCAGGGCATGTCCCTCCCGCACGGGCCGCAAGCGGGGCACTGCCGAGGAGTTTGGGATGGCGACGGGACGCATGCGGGGTACAGTCGGACTTCATTGGACAGGACACGCGAGAGGACAGGGACTGGACCCTTCCGAGGGGACAGGACTTCATTGGACAGGACACGCTAGAGGACAGGACACGCGGGAGGACAAGGACACGCGAGAGGACTTCATTGGACAGGACCCTTCCGAGGGCCACCTTGCCACAAGAATGCAGGAGGCACGAGTCGCGAGACGCAGGACACAAGGGTACCCTTGATTTGGCAGGGTCCGCCCATTATGCCGGGCCGACGGTATTTCGCCCGAGCAAGTGCCTTGCGGACAAGGCAAAGTGAGAGTTCCGCAGGGAACGTGCTGAGCGGCGCTTCCGACGAATCCTCGACGAGGCAGTCAGCTCCGTCATGGAGGAGCTGCAGGTCGTCGAGGGCGACGCCGTGGAGCTGGCCGCTCGCTTTGCGGCGCTTGGCAAGGCGTTGCTGCTTCATCGCCAGGCCGCTGCGCACTGTTGGTGGGGACTGTCGTCTGGGTGACGGTTTGCGCGAGGTTGCGGGCCTTGCGGGCGTGCCTTCTGACTGGTGGCTTGCCTGTGCACATGAAATCGAGGCGGCTGATGACAGAGCTCGGCAAGAGCCGTTCCGCGACGAGCCTTCGGTGGATGCCGACGCGCACGTCCAGTTTAAAAAGAAGTTGGACGCTCCGCAGGCCTCAGACCGTTCCTCAGGTCGCAACAGTGGAGGTCGACTCGCTCGACGTCCACGGCGTCTGGGAACCCGTCGAGGCGCACTTCGAAGGCTTGCGATGCTGGTGCGGCACGCTCATTTTCTCATCGGCGTCCCTGCGCGGGCAGAGAGGCACCGATTGTCAAATCTTCTTTGATAATCTGACGGCCGACGAAAAGCTGATCCCACTTGTTGCGACCTTCGCGGACGCCGCTGCCGACGAGGAACCTGGAAAGCTTGGGCTGGCACGTCCAAAAGCCCATGCCAAAGATGATTCACAACCGCGGCGGCAAGGCGGAAAAAAGAGAAAAGAGGGAGGGGGAGAACGGAAGAGGGCGGGGGTGTTGTTATTGGTTGTGGTGATGGTGGTGTTGTTGTTGGTGCTAGTGTTGCTGGTGGTGGTGGTGGCGTTGGTGTTGCTGTCGTTGTTGTTGGTGGTGGTGTTGTTGGTGCTGTGGATCGCGCTCAACGCAGGTGAACCAGAAGAGATCGCCTCCGTCGGACTTGGGGTCGGACTCCATCCCCAACCCGTCTCGACGGGCGCTCTCTCCAAGCGCCTGGACTCGCGGCAGGTCGCTCTCGAGCAGGCCGAATGACTTAAGCACAGTCTCCCTCGGAGCAAACCCGAGCCGCCGTGACTCTGAGTTTGCCTCACCATCTTACAGCTTCTTCCAAAGACGGCAGCACTAGCTGGAGACGTGTTGTTTCCGTTGTTCCCCGAAGCGCACACTTCCGAAATAGAGGCCGAGATCCAGAGCTGGACGCTGGTCGGGCCCTTGAGGCGCCCATTCCTGTAGCGAGCCCGTACCCGACGGAACGTGCGCGCCTTATTCGTGATGCTGCTACTTACGGACGCCTCCGAAGTCTGAGCGGGAAGCAATTCCCATTGGACCGCCGATCGATTGGGCGAAATTTGGTGTCGCATAAGATGGCTGTGAGATCACGATTTCGATGCCGCTATCTGTGCTGATGCTAGTCTCCTCTTTCCCTCGGCGTGTTCGTCGCAGAGCTCGTGGCGATCAGAGGCGCGGGGGGGGAACTCGCCCGCGGTTGAAATGCGACTGCGTCGGATAGCTCGATACTCGATACTCCTCTTGTCTCCTGTCATCACCCCCTTCTCCTCCCCCCCCTCCTCCTCCTCCTCCTCCTCCTTCTCCTCCTCCTCCTCCTCCTCCTCCTCCTCCTCGTCTTCCTCGTCCTCCGCCTCGTTTTCCTCCTCGTCCTCCTCCTGTCGTCCGGCCCGATCGCCCAGCGCGGACCGAGCCCGAAAGGCCAGGCAGCCTCCGAGTCCGAGCCGGCCTTCCATTTCCGACAGTCGCGAGGAGGACGCCCAGGTGTCGAGTGCGGCGCTGCTTCGGCAGAGACACCCCGCGGGCCCCGACCCAAACCAGGCCTCCTCATGGTCCTCCTGGTCACGATCTTTCACGACTGCTTTCAACCCGTGGAAGCACCAACAGAATGACGTCTGCCACTCCAAGGATCCTTGGAGCTCCTCTCCCCACTGCGTTCCAGGCCGAGCCATACCATGGTCCCCCCCCCCTCCTCTCCCTTCCTCTCCCCCATCCCCCTTCTCGCCTCCACTATCCTGGCCACCCCCGCCCCCTCCCTTCTCGCCCCTACCTTCTCCTCAGCCGTCCCGCCATCCCCTTCCCCGCTCCGATGCGGATCGATATTTAGCCCGATTTCTTCCACGACGGCGTCGCCGATGCATCGCCGACGTCGCCAGTGCATCGCCGATGTATCGCCGATGCGGCGCGATCCCCCGGCCCCACCCGACCCCATTTCCCCGCCTCCGTTTCTTCACCTCCCGCCGTTCCCGCTCGCACCTGTTGCCTGTGGCCGCCGAGCTACCAAGACCCGCCTCACCCCTCGTGAACCGACACGACAGGTCACGGACCAGGGCCGAGACCTCGCCGCAGGCGCCCCCCTCTACCGGGCAGCAGCGCCACGCCCCCAACCTCAGACCTCCAACTCTGGGGCCCCAGAGCGGTGCGGCGACGAACGGCGCGGTGACCTCGAAATCCGGAAGGCCCTCGCTGCACGGCCTGTCGCCGCACCCTTTACAAGCGCGAAGGAAGCCCTGTGGCACGGAGGGGAGAGAATCGGGGTTGGACAGACCCCCCCTTTAGTAAAACGTGGTTCAGATAAAACGACCTCGGGCCCAAACCTGGCGGGCGCAAGCCTGGAAAATGGCGGCCGCGGCGCCCTCTGGAGAACCGAAAACAGACAATTCACTAATCGACGTGTCAGGGTAGGAGGTCTGTCCACCCCCGAGAGAAGGGAGGCGGAGAGCGGGGAACGGGGGGGGGGCGAGGGGAAGCGCGCGCCCGTGCGCGACGCCCTCACAGCGACCGGGCAGTTCCTGGGCCCCGGAGGCCCCAGGTCGCCGTGCGACGTCCTCGGAGGACTGCCCGAAGCCCAGGACCCGCGCGGCCACCCCGAGTCGCCACGTTGCGTCATGCCGCACCGGTCTGGGGGCCCTCGACGAGTCTCGGAGCCTGGGTCGGGGACCGAGCCAGCCGGCCGGGGGGCCCCCGGAGTCGCGGAGCCGGGGTTGCCACGTGCGGTGGAGGCCAGTCCACAAGAGAGACCTTCGACGAGAAACCCAGCCCTGAGACACCAGGACGTCCATGGATTTTTGGCGTGGGAACGTCACGCTCTCCATGGCAAAAACATCGAAGAAATCCACGGCACCTTGGAGTTTCTTGACATGGGTCCCCACTGTAGTAGCCCACAAGCCTGGGGCAGCGCGTGGGCGGAGCACGGGGGGGTCATCCCCCCTGACTGCCAGACCAGGGTCCGCCAGAAAGGATCAAAGGCGGCTTTGGCTGTCCCCATGAGAGCTGACCCTGGTCGGATGAGGAGGAGGAGGAGGAGGAGGAGGAGGAGGAGAAACGATGGATTCGGCATGTGTCGGGGGTTCGGTACGGCAGGTCAGTGTCGTGTCGACCGTGACGTTGGTTTTCGACTCGGCGTGGATCGTTCAACCTTGGACGATCGGCCGTTCCCTCAACGCCCGATCGTTCAACATTAGGCCGATCACGGGTGGCCAGCGGCGTTCAACCCTGAACGCCAGCGGCGGGGTCGCCGCCAGTCGACACGACGCGAACCTTTCGTATTTTGCTGTGTATTGGGCTGGGAAGGGGGACAGGCGGACGGCGACGACGGCGACGGCAAGGGCGACGAGAGGAGGAGGAGGAGGAGGAGGAGGAGGATGAGGAGTTCTGGAGTTCTGGGTATGGCGACAGTGTCGGTTACTGGTGACTGAAGCGGCTACTTGCCCTGCCGCTTCCCGCTGGCCAGCTCGGCTTTACTGAGAGCTTTCGGCCAGAGGCCTCGGGAAATTCTATCTACGTAATGCGTTCGATTACCTGATATGACCCCCTCGCACTCAACGGCTATCGCTCGAATCTGTTGCGAAGCGTAGCAGCCGCACTTAGTGCAGAACCAGAGGTCTAACCCCGAGTGGAAACTTAAAGCATGTGATTCATGTGAGAACCCCCCCCCAAGATGCACCCTTAGCCCAGGAGGCGGCCTATACTGAATCCCGTCAATACTTATAAGAGAAAAGCAAGGGGAGCTCAACCAAGCACTTTTGCGGGCCCAGGACGTAAAACCCTGACACCTGGAACAGCTCTTTGCATTTTCCTTGAGACAGTGAGTACTATTGAACATGGCACACACACTGGCCGCTGGAGGCCGTACTATGTCAGAATTTTGCTGCCTACGCCTACGCCTGCCACCCTGCTCAGCAACTAACCGCTCTTCAGCTTGAATAGCCTCGAGTGTGCTTTGAAG